TCTATTCCACTCGAATTTCAAAGCCATCTCAGAAACAGGTCTGAGGCCTTGAGCACCAATGAGCATAGACCAATGAGCTATGGGAGGATATCAAGAATATTGTCCATGAAGAAGGCAAAAGATCATTACAAAGGCTGAAGAGGAAGAAAAGACAAGATGGATGTCAGATGAGAGTCTGAATATTGCATTAGAGTGCCAAGAAGCCAAAGCTAAAGGAAGAAATCAAGAAATTAAAGAGGTGAACAGAAAATTTCAAAGGGCAGCTTGGGACAACAAAGTGAGATACTATAATGAAATGTGCAAAGAGGCGGAGTCAGAAAATCAGAAGGGCCGAACTCACTCAGCGTTTTTTAAGCTGAAGAAGTTGAAAAACAAATTCAAGGCACGAGTGCCGAAACTTAAGGATGCTTTTAGTGGAGAGTTAAATGATCCAAGAAGCATTAAAAGAAGATGGAAGGAGTATACAGAGTCACTGTACCAGAAAGAACTGGCTGACACAGAAGAATTTCATCAAATAATATGAGCAAGAGCCTGTGGTGATGAAGAAGGAAGTTCAATTTGCTCTGAAAGAACTGGCAAAAAACAAGGCCCAGGAGCTGACGGCATACCGACTGACATAGTTCAACAAAGCACATGCTGCCCTGGATGTGTTCACTAAGTTGTGCCAAGAAATCTGGAGGACAGCCAGCTGGCCAACTAACTGGAAAAGATCGATATCTGTTCCCATTCCAAAGAAAGGTGACCCAATAGAGTGCGGAAATTATCGAACAATATTATTAATATCACACGCAAACAAGATTCTGCTGAAAATTATCCAAAAACGACTGGAGCAACACATCAACAGAGAACTGCCAGATGTGCAGCCGGGGTTTAGAAGAGGTTTTGGTACTAGGGATATTACAGCTAATGTTAGATGGAACTTGGCAAAAAGCAGATAGTACCAGAGGAATGTCTATCTGTGCTTCATCGACTTTGCAAAGGCTTTTGACTGTATGGATCACAACAAGCTGAGGCTGACTCTGAGAAGAATGGGAATCCCAGAACATTTGATTGTGCTTATACAAAACCTATACTTGGACCAAGAGGCAGTTGTCAGACCAGAGCAAAGAGACACTGCATGGTACAAAATTGGGAAGGGGTCCGTCAGGGATGTATTTTGTCTCAATACCTTTTTAATTTGTATGGAGAATAAATCATCCAGGATGCTGGGCTGTATAAAAAGGAATATGGCATCAGGATTGGTGGAGGATTCATCAACAACATGCGTTGTGTAGATGACACAACCCTGTGTGCTGAAACTGATGACGTGGGCTGAAAAGAAGGCCAAGGACTGCAGCCTTCAATATGGATTGAAGCTCAACATCTAGAAAACAAAGGTTCTCACCATTGGGCCAATTGGCAGCATCAGTTTGGATGGTGAGGAGATTGAGATCATTAACAGTTTTAGTTTGCTTGGCTCCACAATCAACATTTTTGGCACTAGCAGCCAGGAAATCAAGAGACGAAATGCACTGCAAAAGTCAGCAGTCAAGGACCTCTCCAGAGTACTGAAGAGCAATGACATCAGGCTGGAGACTAAGGTGTGCCTGATCTGGGAGATAGTCTTCATGAATGCATGCTATGCATCGGAGAGCTGAACAGTGAGTTGGGATGATAGAAAGAGAATCGATGCCTTTGCGCTGTGGTGCTGGAGAAGAGTGTTGCACATACCATGGGCTGCTAGGACAAATAGGTTTGTCCTAGAGAGGGTGAAGCCAGAATGCTTCTTGGAGTCAAGGATTCTGAAGCTTCATCTAACATACTTTGGGCATGTTGCAAGGTGGGACCAGTCCTTGGAGAGGGACATCATGCTGGGGAGACTGGAGGGATAGTGCAGGAGAAGACCCTCGATGAGATGGATCGATTCAATGATGGGGGTAGTAGGAGTAGGTGTGTTGGAGACAATGAGGTTGGCAGAGGACAGAGCAGGGTTTAGGGCTCTTGTACAGAGAGTCGTAAGCAACTCAACAGTACATAACAACTCAAATAATTAAAACTCACAAATAAAAATGTATATGTAGTCTATAATATGGTGCTCTAGTTGGCTAGTGGGTAGAGAAGTGCACTGCCAATCTAAAGGCAGTAAGAACAAATCTACGAAGTGCTCCAGAGACAGACGGGTGATCCTCCCACATGAGATTCACAGTCTGAAAACCCACCAGAGGATCAGCTATTAAGTCAGTTCCAACTAGACAGCAATATGTGAATGAGGCTGTAAGTGAAATTATAGGAATACATAAATTATTAAATAATAATGTGGTGCTGTGATATCAAAAGGTAACAAACACTCAAAGAACTAGATGACAGACTTATGCTATTCACTCATTTATCAAATTTTAAGAAAGCACTTACTCTGTCCTGCACAATTTTAGGCACTGTTAGAACAGAAAATGAAGCAAGTAAAAATCCTGGTCATCCCTGAGTATTTTAATGACTTGATATCAAACAAGGGGGGGAAAAATGAGGGTGTAAGACCAAAAGATAAAAATAATTCATGTAGGGAAAAAAGGTGGAAAATATATAAAAGATGGGGAGAGGGGTAAGGGAGTAAAGAAAACCAAGCCACGTGTTTATCTAGATACAGACATCTGAATGTAGATAATAGTAAAAGGTGAAAAAAATGCTTATTATTTTTAAGGGCCAGTGTGCAGGGCAGTGTGGATACAGAATAAAGGAGCGAAAAGAGGTTTGCAGGTAAAGGGGAAGGGCCTAGGGTTTCCTGGAGGAGCATTTGAATAAGGCTTACAGGGACAAGTATGATGCCACCAAGTGGAAATGGAATGGGGAAGTGATTTTAGATAATTGGAAGATAGGAAAACATAAGTCAAAGTGTTGCAAATGTCTTAAGGATGTTTAGGAATTGGAAGCTGGCCCAGTGTAGAATGAGAGAACATGAGCATAAGGGTAGAGCCTGCAAATGTGGAGGGGGAGGAAAGTAGAGTAGTACCTTCTGTTCAGAAGTTGTACAAAGAGACAGAGGACAAATAGGCATTAGGGTGAAAGGCAAGTATTAGATGGCTCTTAAATATAACCTTTCCACTTCCCAGTGGAAGTCTTGGGATCTTTGTGAGGAAAATATTCCTTGGACATTGTCTTATAGTAAGAAAACATACAAGAAATGGAACCTCAATTATTAGTAGCATGAACCAAACTGCCATGTCTCATAGACTGAATCACACATAATACAGTGATGATTAAAAAACGGAAATGAGAGGCAAATAGTCATTTTAAAAAACTCACAAAATTACTAAAGCATGGCTAAATAACCAACTGTTCACACACTGCCACCAAGTCAATCACAACTCAATGAAAACAACCTTCATTGGGTTGTTAAGGCTGTAAATCTTAATGGAATGACACTGTCCAACTTCCTCCAGTAGCTACTGGACTCAAACTGTCGGTTAGCTGCATAACTCACTATTGACTATGCCATGAGAGGTTTTTCTACACAAAGATCTTGTGATAATTTCCCACTTTGCTGAAACTTTGTTCATATTAAAATACCCCAGTACCTAGTGAAATGCTTAGCACAGAAGATTATGTATCTGTATAACCATTAAAAAGTTTATCCATTGGTTTGTTTTAGTATAATCACATAGTGCTAGAGCTGTCAGCTGTCACACTGCCATAGTGAACTGTGACTATTAGTAGGAAGGAAACTAAACAAAAGCAGTTAAGTGGGGAAAAAGGGATGTTTTTCTTTCTTCAATATTACCACCTGTGCCAAAGCAACAACATATTGCAGAAAAGTCAGTCGACTTGCTAATTACTCACATGAAACCAGGCTATTTCTGCTACATTATCACTATATCCAACAAACAAAGCTGCTTTGTGCCAAAGCATATTTCCCTTAATATCCATATGCTGTGCGTCAAAGATATCTTTTTGGAAGAGAACCACAAAGCATAGAAAATCTTAATTTCTTCTGATTGACCAAGACTTCTGTAGATATAGGAAAGTGGATTTTTTTCTTAATTTTTTTTAAATCCTAATTTAAGACAAACATACCTAATAAACTGTTTCAAATAACACAAAGGCACCTAACAAAAAGATAGCAACATTAATCCTTTATTGGTGGTGGCTGTAGTGTGCCCTCCAGTTGGATCTGACTCATGGTTGACTCTCCTGTGGGTTTTCAAAGCCAGTTAATGGCGAGGAAAAATACTGCCCATTCTAAAAATCCAATAGAGAGGAGGTGGCTTGCTTGTGGGTTTGTGGTTTGTTTTTTAATTATCAACAAGATACAAATGATCAAACCTCTGCTAGAAAAGCATCTTCCTACATAAGGTAGAGCGTTCTAGTGGCTTAGTGATAAAGAATTACCATTAATTCGGACATAGTTAACCTCTACCAGTTGCTCCCAGGGACAAAGATGGGCAATCTTGTGATTTATTGCCTTGGAAAACCAGCTGGAGGTCACCTATTGGTGGGTTCCGATTCCAGAGTACAAAACAACAACAATAACATGAAATAAATGTACAGCTCATTCTGATCTAATGTTAATATGTTTACACTGAAAATTTAAGCGTACTTTCAAATGGTCTTTTCCACCAAATTCATCCATTTAAACGTGTAAGGGGCTTAGGGTTTCTTTAAACGTAAATGTATGAACGTCAATAGTTTATGTCTAGGGTCCTCCATGAAACATTTCTCTACGCTAACACTAAACTATCTTTAAGAGTAACTCTGAAGTGGATTCAAACTCCTTCTCATACCACTACATAAATCTCTAATACCCACATAGCACGTACGCAGAAGAGTGGTTTGCAAAGTCGTGGTCTGATCTGCTTGTTGGAAGTGAAGTCAGTAAGCAATGAGTCGAAGGTGGTCTCGCCACAATAAAGGCATCCTGTAACGCCCGGATTTCGGCTGAAAGTAGCCTCACTCTGGGTCCCAGACGAACGCTGGGGTGGGGAATACGCATTATCTGGGGTCGGGGCTCGGGGCTCGGCCGGTCTCACCTTGTAGACGTCGCCGTAGGTGCCGCTGCCGACCCTCTGGACGAGCTCGTAGTCCTGCTGCGGGTTCCGCCTCAGGATGTCCGCGGCCGGCCGCAGCGGGGCCTCCATCTTCGCTCAGGGCCGGGTCCCCGCCGGATCTGCCCGCGGCGCCCAGATTCCCGCTAACGAGGAGAAGCCGCGCCGCTTCCCAACATGGAGCCTTTGCTCGCAGCTCCGCCTGTACGAGAAACAAGCAAGGCGGGTCGGCGTCGTGGGGAAAAAGCCTCCCCCCCCCCCGAGCGGTCCGCGACCCCTTCCCGTCCTTTCTTCCCCGTCGAGAGCCTCGAGGGAGACATGGGCCTTGAAGGGTCCTCACTGCGGCTGCGGCCGCGGCCCTTCCCCCTCCCGGCCTCCCGCGAACCGTCCAACTCGGCCTTCTGGTCGCCGGGCCCGGGCTGGCTCAGTACCTGATGGGGGGCGGCCCCGTTCTTTGTTGAGGGCCGAGCTCCGGACGTCCTCGCCGATGCCCGCAGCCTCTCTCCAGTGTCTCTGCTCCCGCGCCCGCCGGCTGGCCGAAATCTGCAGCCGCCGCCGGCCCGTGGAACCGCGCGTTCTCTCCCAGGCGGCGCGTCGCCGCCGCTGCCGCCGCACCACGTTCCCCACCCGGGGCTGCGTCACCGGGAGACACGTTCCCGGCCAGCGTGGGTCTGCGCCGAGCGGCCCGCCCGAGTGCGCCGGCCGCGGGACCAGAGTGCCGCCCTGAGGCCTGGTCCGGACACGACAGCCTCCCGGCCCCGTCGCCGCGCCCCCACGTCGGGCGCGCCCTTGCTGAGAGCTCAGGCTCTGTTGCCCATTCTCAAAGATTAGCCCTCTCTAGGCATTCGTGGTCTCACTGGCTTTGGTCAGACCCCCACGGACGCATCAGGTAAAGCTGAAGGATGTCGGATAAAGGGCGAAAAGGGGAGGGGGAGGGGAGCAGAAACGCCCTGCGAACCCAACCCTCCAAGTTCAGTACAAAGGTACGTGAGGGCACCGGGCCAAAAGTAACCTGGCAGCGGGGCTCCAGGGAAGGTGGTGGGGGTGTGCCAGGTCAGCTAAGCTGCGGCACACCCTTACTGCACCTTCCTGTTTTGCAAATCATTCCCAGTGGTACCAGTTTGAGGCCGCACAGCACACCTGCACAACCTGTCTTCTGCAGAGTTTTCCATTTCGGAAAGTCCAAATTCCCAGTCACTCTCAGTGATCTTTTACTTCTATTGGACACAAGCAGTGCCTCAACGAAGACATTTGCACCTTTGTCTGGACCAGTTCTGCAAAAGCTAAAACTTAGGAACCACGAGATCTACCACTTCCTTAGTATGTGATATGGGGCAAGATATTCTATTTGGCAATATTTCATTGTCCTCAGCTGTAATTTGAAAAGGATGAAGTTAATTTGACTCCCAAGAAAATGTGTATAAAGCGTTTTATAGGACTATAAAGAGTGTAGGGGGTGTTAGCAAATAAAATACTAAATTGCTTAATAAACAATGCTCATAATTATTTAAATAGTTCAGGAAATTTAGTTTGCATTTCACAAGTTGTTGGTAGTTTCCGTTCCAGTCTTGATCTGAAGGTGCAAATAAAGTTGCCAGATTTATGTGTAATACTGGCAAATTTATTCCTAGAGCCCTTGGAGATTTTAAACATAAAAGCCAGATGACACTATATATCACTATTTGGTGAGTTTTTGTTTATCTTAAAAGGGCTAGTTGCAGATGTTGGCAGGTGACTTTGAGCATCCAATTCTGTTCTTGGGCAATATACTCCTTATTGTTAATCTTTGAAATCAGCTGTGTAATGTAAAAGTTAAATTTACACCTTAATAGGGGAAGGAATATATGTATTTTCTTGTGCTCCATGCACAAAAGGCACTTATTTAGAGAACATAAGTAAGCCCAGGCTTACATGCTCCATGGACAAAGCCTGTGTGTTTGCTGCATTGAGAAAAAAATGTTGAGGAACAGTTCCTTCTTTCAAAACTTCTTGGCAGTTGTCTTGGTGGGCACATACTTTTGGCTTCAATGACTCAAAATCTTTTTAAATGTTCTATTGGTAGCCTAGTACTTGTTTATTGTCACAGATTTCATTTTAGTTTTATCTGGGGGATTTTCCCCCCTCTCTGTTCTATAAGCATTGATCCATTCTCTAGTCTAAAATGTATTTATTCTTATTTATGCCTGAATCACTCCACAATTTGAGGCAGCATCTAGGAAATGCATATTGTAACATAAGATAAAAATAAATATATAAAGATATCAATATGAAACTAAAACTCAACTCATTGCTGTGGAATTAGAACCGACAACTCCTGGCTGACCCTCCAATGGGAGGCTATAAATCATACAAGAGGAGATTGCCCAGTGTTATCCCTCTAAGCTACTGGAATTGAACCTCCAGAGAAGCACTGCCTTTAGGTTAGCACTGCAGCTCCCTGTAGCGTTCCCTTATGAAAATAAGAGAAGGGAAAACAGATGAGAGGAGGTTTTGTTGTTTTGAGATCAAAACAGTTTATCAAGAGAGGCGTATATCTTCTAACCTATACTTAAAACTTATAAAAATTTACTTCACAGGCCTTTCTAAAGTGGAATAGATGCACTGTTTGAGACAAGAATAAATCCTTCAAGCATGTTGCTCTTGAAACACTTGATACCAATTAGGGAGGAAATCACAGGCCTCAACAAGGCCTTGGAGTGTAGATCCTCTGTGTTGCCAGTAATGGCAGATCCATATGATTTGGCCTGCAACCTAGAAGCAGACAGCATGGAGAAGTTGACATTCTACTGGTGTTCTAAAAATATTATGTTTGCTGCCACAGTTGATTCAAGAATGAAAATACTTGCTTTATACTAACTCCATAAGAGTTATTCTGAATCTTAATACTGAGTTCATGATCTACATAGCTGGTAAGTTAAGCATTACATGATTGGTAAAGAAATTCAAATGAGACTTTCTTAAAATGAGCTTACAGTGAGCAAACTTAGTTTTATATACTAAAAACGTATATAATTGAAAACTTCTTGTTTTTCAATTCCAACAAGTCGAATATCATGCATAATGACCTTGTGATCAGAACTCTGCCCTATCCTGTGCCATCCTTATCATCCTCAACTCATTTGAGTCTATTGCCACAGCCACTGTATCAGTCTATCTCATTGAGGGTCTTTCTCTGCTTTGCTGACCTTCTTCCACCTTTCCAAGCATAATTTCCCTTTCCAAGGAATTAACTTTCCTAAGAACATGTCCAAAATATGTAAGACGAAGCCCTACCATCTTTGTCTCCAAGGAAAAAGAATCTTGTTGTATTTCCTCCAAGACATATATGTTTGGGGTATAATAATCCATGGGATATTTGCCACTTAATAGCATCTATTCTGGTCCTGTCATCCTTATTTACTGTCCAGTTCTTAGATGCATAGTAGGTGACTAGAAAGACTATAGCTTGAATCAGGCACACCATAATCTTTAAACTAATGTCGTTGTTCTTCGGGTCTTTGGAGAGATCCCTGACAGCTAACTGTCCCAATGCTGTTCGCATCTCATAACTGCTAGTACCAAGGATGTTGACTGTGGATCTAAGCAAGATGAAATTGTTGACAATTTCCTCTCCTCCCCCACTCCCCATCTATTACAATGTTGTCTACTGATCCCGTTGTAAGGGTTTTTTGTTTTCTTGATGTTGAGATGTAATTAATATGTAGAGCTTCAATCCTTGATCCACCAAGCACTTCATGTCCTCCTTACTTTCAGGAAACAAGTTTCTTGGACTTTGCAACTTTCCCTCTTCTTTCAAGATCTTTAAAGCACTAATCATAATTATCATAACTTTCTACTTCTAATCCAGCCAAAGATTCTCACCAATGAGCCAATTGGCAGCATCAGTATGGATGGGGAAAAGATTGAGATAGTTGACAGTTTTAGTTTACTTGGTTCCACAGTCAGCCCTCTTGGTAACAGCAGCCAGGAAATCAGGAGACAAATTGCATTGGGAAAGTCAGCTGTGAGGGACCTCTCAAGAGTACTGAAGAGCAACAACATCAGGCTGGAGACTAAGGTGTGCCTGATCCAGGCTATAGTCTTTGCAATTACGTGCTATGCGTCAGAGAGTTGGACAGTGAATAAGGATGATAGAAAAAGAATTGATACCTTTGAGTTGTGGTGCTGGAGAAGAGTGTTGAGTATACTATGGACTGCTAGGAGAACAAACAGGTTTGTCCTGGAGAGGGTGAAGCTAGAATGCTCCTTGGAGTCAAGGATTCTGAAGCTTCATCTGACATACTTTGGGCACGTTGCAAGGAGGGACTGGTCCTTGGAGAGGGACATCATGTTTGGGAGAGTGGAGGGATGGCGCAGAAGAGGAAGTCCTCGATGAAATGGATTGATTCTGTGAGTGGAGTGGTGGGAATGAGTGTGTTTGAGACAGCGAGGTTGGCACAGGATAGAACAGCATTTAGGACTCTTGTACATATGGTCACTATGAGTTGCAAGTGACTTGATGGCACATAACAACAAAAACAATCCAGCCAAGATTGAATAAAAATTTAGAGACATGTAATTTAACATGGATAAAATGCATAATTCATTATTCAAGACAAACTAGCTAATTAAAAAGCCTCAAGTTTGGAAACAACCTAAGTGCCCATCAACAAACAAATGGATAGAGAAGCTGTGGTATACTCACACGATAGAATATTATGCAGTACTGAAAAACATAGAACGTATAAAATGTTATACAAAACGGGTGACCATGGAGGACATTATGCTGAGTGAAATATTTCAGTCACAAAAAGACAAATACTGCATGGTGCCACTGTTATAAAACAGGATTGACATGGGGGTTAGGGAGAAACTAAGAAAAGAGGGGATAAATAGTATACATGGCATTGAAATAGATGAGGGAAAGAACTGTATAAAAGGAATATATGATTAGGTATTATTGGCATGACAAGAGTCCAGAATAAGAGATTCATAGTGAAGTGGACTGGGGTGTATGTGTCTGTTTAACAATGAAAGAAATTTTTTTCCAAAGAAAAAAGTGAACTGGGGGTTGGGGGGGGGCAGGGAGGAAAATGTGCAACAGTGAATGAGTG